GGTTGTGACAACAGTTAAGGAACCAGAATAATTCTTCAAGAACTTTCTTTTTCTTATTCTCAGAGTTTTATGGCTTTTCTTTTTTGCCTTGTTGTGGCACATGCAGACAGCACTGTGAGTCACTAGTCAGCTCTGGGCCTGTATGTGCTGTGCATTTAATTCTGTTATAGTGAAAGGGAATGAAGTTCCCTTTCAATATTTAGGCACTAGGGCTTAGCTCCTTAGCATATTTTTGGTATGAACCAAACTTCAAACCTGTTTATGGACAAAACTGAATATACAGTAAGATCTAACCTCTGGTTTTGGCAGAACAGAGTTGTGGAGAGCTTGCTATTATAAGCCATTGTGGAGAATGGAGGGTGGTTTGGATCAAGGCATGAGAGAAAGGGTCTTTAATCATAAAGATGCTACTGTGGGATTTGGGAGGAAGTTATGTTGCATAATTTCAGTGATAGCTGAAATTGTCAACTATCAGCCAAATAAACCGCTTGTCTATGCCAAAGTCTCCCCTCTTGAAAAAGTAGAAGTCTTTCTCTGTCTCAAAGTGATGGTGCAAGGGTGTATACACTACTCTGAGATGTAGTGATACTGCAGTACTTGGGACCATATGAAATATCCAAGATGAGAAATAAATAATTAGAATTATTTTATTCTAAAAAAACAGTAAGCAGCACAGAGAGTGAGTGAGCAAGCCATGGTAATGTAGCCATGGCTTTTGAGTTGGAGGGATTAGTCTTGCCATCCAATGCTTCCTACCATATAAACATGAGAGCAAATGGTGCCTTTTCATTGAGAAGTGTGGCAAAATAGGTTGATTGCAAATTAATGTGTTATCTTAATTTTAAGCAAAAGTTTGAGAAATGCTCCATTTGTAGTGTGTTGTATTTGCTTTACATAGTTAGAATTGCACTTTGCTGGAATTGGAGTGGTTAATAACTCAGTGCAGAACATGGGGGCTAAGTTATGAGTAGTTTCATGTTTCAAGATTTCTGTGTGCACTTTCTGAAGTAAATGAATTTTTCATTTAATCAACTCAAAATCTGTCTAATATCAGTGAGAGGATTTTATCAACATTTGGTTATTGTTAATAGTATCAAAGACAAATGTTATTCTTGGGGTCAGTAAACTTTCCACAAGTGTACATTTGGAAGGCCATATCCAGACTGTCTGGGGACATTTTATGAGATATGACAAAATAGTCTAAGCCTTCAGTGTGTTAAACGGAATGAATAAATTTTAGACCACTGCAGAGGGAGAATTAGTTTGCTTTTGTTCATCTACTGAATTGAGCTAGTGAACAATTTAAAAGCTTAGATCATCCTGGGCACAAAGACAAAAGACAGCTTAGATTTTGACGTAGCAGTCCCATTTAGGCCATCATCTCCTGGGTGCTGATGTATGTGGTGTCATTCATGGTGACTTGAAATCTGCAATAAAACACTGTCTATTGCAATAACTGCCAAATTTATTTTAAGGTAACAAATTGCTTTAGATAGTTTCTTTGTGATTTATTTAGCCTAACTTGTTCTGAAGAAATATAAAATAGTGCAGGGAAAAAAAAATTACATGTCTAAGTTTCTTTCAGATATCAGAAATTTATTGCTGTTTTTACTCCTATCAAT